ATGGTGGCACATGCCTGTAGTCCCAGCTACTCGAGAGGCTGAGGCAAAAGAATCGCTTGAACCTGGGAGGCGGAGGTTGCAGTGAGCCAAGATCATGCCACTGCACTCCAACCTGGTAACAGAGCAAGACTCCATCTCAAAAAAAGCAGATTAAAAGCTTTCGCTCTAAAAAAGATGCTGTGAAGAGGATGAAAAGACAAACTACAGACTGGGAGAAAATATTTGCAAACCACATATTCAACAAAGGACCTGTGTCTAAATTATGCCAAAAAAAACCTCTCAAAAACAGTGAAAAAAAATGGGCAAAAGACATGAACAGACATTTCACTGAAGAAGAAATACAGATGGCAGATAAGCACATGAAAAGATGTCCAATATCATCAATCATTACAAAATGCAAATTAAAATGATGAGATATCACTACACACATAGCAGAATGGCTCAAGTGAAAAACAGCAATAACACCACATGCTGGCAAGGATGTAGAAAAACAAGATCACTCATACATTACTAGTGGGAATATAAAATTGTAGAGTAGTACAGCCACTTACTATACAACCCAGTAATTGAACTCCTGGCCATTTATCCCAGAAAGATGAAAACTGAAGTTCACACAAAAACATCTACATGTACATTCATAACAGCTTTACTTGTGATAGCCAAAAATTGGAAATAATGCAAATATCCTTCAACAGGTGAATGGTTAAACAAACTGTGGTACATTCTTACCATGGAATACTACTCAGCTCTCAAAAGGAATGAACTACTGATAAATGTAACAACTTGAATGGGCCTTAAGGGAATTATGACAATACCAAAAGGTTATATACTATATGATTCCATTTCTATAACATTCCTGAAATGACAGAATTATAGAGATGGAGAATAGACTAGTCATCCCCAAGGGTTGGATTGGGGAGGGGAGAAGGGCAGGGACAAGAGGGAGATGAGTATGGCTGTGAAAGGATGGCATAAGAGGTTCTTGAAGCGATGGGAGCATTCTCTATCTCAACTGTGCTTCTGGTTACACGAATGTACACATGATAAAATTGCATAGCGTTAAATACACACAAATGAACGCACATAAAACTGGTAAAATATGAATAAGTTCAGTGTATTGTATCAACATCAGTTTTCTGGTTGTAATATTGTTTCTATTCATGCAAGATGTTATCACTGGGGCAAACTGGATGAAAAGCATATGAGATCTCTCTGGATTATTTCTTACAACTGCAGGTGGACCTACAATTATCTCAAAACAAAAAATTTAATTAAAAGAGAAAAACGAGGTTACATTTCCAAAACCTTTTTCTTTTTATGGGAAGGGGACAGTGGGAGAAGAATACTGCTTTCTATCTGTTGACCATTATGTATTATAGTTATGCATTCAAGTACACACACACACACACACACACACACACACATCACAAGGGCTCTTA